CAGGTATAAGTTTAGCAAAGTATATACATGATCTATAGACTACGGATTATAAAATACTAATAAAATGCATTTTAAAAGACCTAAAAATAATAGATTCATAAGGTGGAAGACTCAATATCATTAAGATGTCAATTGGCCCCCAAATGAACTATAGATTCTCTGTAATAACAGAAAAATAAGAGCAAGATTTTTTGAAGCTATTTTAACCTAAATGAAGACTAGAAGATACCAGTCACTGAAGACAGATTGCTGAATATATTTAGCACAAAGTCACCAATGATCACAGTTTGTAAGAATTATTAGTAAATTTTTTGAGACCAGCAGATGGTGTAATAGTTACATCATTGGAGTCTCACGTAGTCAACCGTAGTTTGAGTCCTGGACCCAGCAGCTTAAACCTCACGCCTGGTGCATATGCATGTGTGCCCATGCATGTGTGCCCAAAATCCAAGAGAAGGATGGAGAAGGGATTGCAGCATGGCCATCCCCCCAGGAGGTGATTTCTTGCTTTCTATCTCTGTCACTCCAGCAAGTGTAGGTGCCCTATAGCAAAAACTTCTCAAAAAAAAAAAAAAAAAAAGGAATTATTAGTAAATTTTTAAAATTCTCAAATGGAAGACCCAATAGCGTATTGGATGTTATTGTTCCAATAGTGGAACAATAGTCTACAGTACAATTCTGCCATTTTCTGGCTCTACACAAATAATGGCAGCCTTCTTATATCAGCGATATCTAACTAGTATCTATAACAGAAAATTAGATGATAGCCATTCAGTCACCTATATGTTCCACCAAAGTGTAATATTCATGGCAGCAGAGAAAGGGGGACTTGACAACAGGTGTTAAATATATAATCTAGTTGATCGACTGACTAACTTGGTCTCAGGACACAGAACTAAATTTGATTCTGCACAGTGGGAGACTTATGCAAAGAAAAGGAACCAAAAGAAAAGAGAAACCAAGGTATGGGTAATAAGTATAAACATGGCTATTTGTGTAATTATTTGGTTAAAATATAAGGGAAAAAAATCAACAGAATCTATAATATTGAGTCATCAGGAAAGTCACGATTCAGTTTTGCATAGAAAAACAGAAAAATAAGTCATGATATTCCTGACGACTTAATATCTAAGAATGTAAAGATAAAGGGTAAGCCAGAAAACTGGGACGGGGGAAATCATTTGGCCAAGGCCCCAAAATAGACGTGTCAATGGTAGTATAACAGAGGGAAGAGGTTTAACTGTGGTAATAGTCACATAGTCTAAAGTCCAGTTTTGGATGAGAAAAAGAGGAGAAATGCCATGTATTTATTTTTATAATGTATGTGATGCTGACAAATGATTTAAAAATATTTAAGTGTGAAAATTTTAAATATCAAATGTCCATACTAAGTGAAACAGGGGAGAATGGGAAAGTATGGTTTGTGGAATTTTCTGTTAAATGTATACAATTCTGATCCATTTACTTTATCCAGGATAATCAGTTTTTAATTGTGAAAAATAAATCCTCAATGCTGTTGACTCTCTACTACCCTAGCTACTCCCCACTTCATGGAGGTTTCAGCAGATGGTCTGTTTCTATTTTTCTGATAAAACATTTGTTGTAAGAAATTTAAAGTTGAGAAGCCAAATGAAATTTTTTAATTCACTTTCAACTGAAATAATCCTTATTCCCTAGGCTCCAGAATCAGACTAGTTAAGTACATAAGGAATCATTGAAAAAGCACCCTCAAAGCAATATAGCTTGAACTGTGATTTTTAGCAATCAAAAACTTCTTTTGGGAACCAGCAGTTAGTGTAATGGCTATGTCGCTGGATTCCCACGTAGTCGACCGCGGTTCGCGTCCCGGACCCGGTGGCTTAGAACTCATGCCGGGCGCATGTGCGTGCGTGCCCAAGATCCCAAGAGGAGAATGGAGAAGGGATTGCGGCATGACCATCCCCCCTGGGGGGTGATTTCTCGCTTTCTGTCTCTATGTCTCTCTCTGTCTGTCTGGCGAGCGTACGCACCCTATAGCAAAAAACCTGTCCAAAAAAAAAAGAAAAAAAACCTTCTTTTGTCAATATACTCTACAAATAGTTTTAAAGCACTCTCAGTTATGATTAATTTCAGTATTTCACAAAGTTGAGTTTTTTAGTTACGAACTCAGAGAATCATTGAAACTGTAGCATCAGGTCTAGCCACAAGCTGAAAAAGATGATTTCATATAACTAGTGCAATTTTACTAAGTTACACTCTCACAGTCATAACTGTCCAACTATAGACTACAAATATATAAAATTAAAAATCAAAGATTCCTCAAAACAAGAACTTTAGGAATTAATGGATCATCAGAAAAGTCATGATGTATTTTTTTCTATGTTTTCTATATGCAAAAATGTGCCATGACTTTTCCAATGACCCAATAAAACAGATATATAATGAAAGCATTAATATTATAGCTAAAAAAAAAGCAAAACTATTTTAAAGAAAGATTTTAATCAAGCTATATTTTAGGGTTGAATTCTAATCTATTGCTTTCTTATCATCAGAAAAACAAAACTGCTTTCCCAGTATATTAATTAAATGTTAACTTATAAAATTATTTTATAACATAAAAATTTTGGTTTTTATATGTTTTGTAACATACAAATTATAGTATTTTTCAGAAGTATTATCTTGTATGAATATAAAATACATTAAGTGCACGAGTGTGAAAATTCTGTTACTATGGAAACATGAGTCTTTGTAATTTCTGACACATATAATTTAAGTTTTTTCATAAATATAATCTGATTCTTAATTCAGTGGTTTAAGTATCTGCACATTTTTTAAAAACAGGATAAGTTAGGATTACCCTGTTAAGATGTCAGAGTGCCTTGTGAAATAAAGTGGTTTTTAACAAGGAATATTATACTAAACACTGCATACAGTAAAAAAATATGCTGTTCATGATCTCTTATGTAACCTTAACTACATACAAGTCATTTGTAAACAGAATAAAGAGTAATGTACTACTATTATTGCTCAGAGATTCAAGTTTTTGTTTTTTTCAAATAATTAGAATGTAACCTCAAAATACTACCTCACAAATAATTAAACAGCATAAAAATATACTTTGACAGAAAGAATCAAAGCTATACTTTTATCCAAAGAAAGCCTGACTTGTAAAAATGTCATAAAGCTAATGAATAATGGCTGAACCTAAATTATCCATTTCTAAGGCCCAAGTACCTTCATGATTGTCCAAAGAGAGAGGGCAAACTATTTAGTAGCGTGGGGTTTGCATAGTTCAAACACTGACTGCTGCTAACCTACCTAGACTTTTTCAAGTCAGTAAACTCTGCACCTTAGTTTCTTCTAATCCTTGGAGTTGTTTTGATGATAAACATAGCAAATATTTGAACTCTTTGGCAGAATAGCTATATATATACATATATATATGTGTGTGTGTGTATATATATATATATATATGTCAACCTTGCTAATAATTTCCTTGTCCTCACCATAAGTTTCAACTGATGCTAACATGTTTTTTCTGGTTTTAGTTTGAAGCTTAAAATAACATTGTGTGTGTGTGTGTGTGTGTGTGTGTGTGTGTGTGAAAGAGAGAGAGAGCTATCTTTAACATGGCTGGCATTCTAACAAGATTCTTTCTTCCAACTTTCAAAATGCATGAATAATAGCACAACATTTTCATTTTTAGCATTACCAAAGCCTTCCTACCCAAAGCTGTGCAGAAAATTTTAGAAATTCAAAACAAAATTTTCCATCACATTACTCTCAACTTCTATAGAAATACAGTTCAAAACTCAAAAGTTAGCCATTTCTCTATAAAGTTTAAATACTACCAGTGGAAGATTATAAAAATGCATATTGTTTTTTAAAATTATAAGAGAATAATTTTAATGATAAGGTTAAAACTTAGTATATCACATTTTGAAAAACAAAGATCACTAATATTCCTGAAATAATAGAAATATTAGTAGTAGCAGTATTCTAATAATTCAGCCATCTTGTAATACCTTCTTTTTTGTCAATAGATAAGGAATCAGGCCACTTTATATACTCAAGTCAAAAAAATTATTCTCATTAATGAGAAAGGCAATTTGTTTACAGGTAACCAAAAGTAATAAAAATACAGTTTTAAGTTAATATTTTAGATCTATTATGTTTATTTTGCCAGGATATCTATCTTAATTACTTTCATAACTTGATAAAAACATATAACTTACTTTTTACTTTACCATGTATATTTTACTAACAGCATTAGCATACAACTGCATATACTATTTAAGAAATAGCAATCCACTAATTCATATGCCTAGGGCAAAACTAGAAATAGAAATAAAAGATTATGAAATAAAAGATAATGACAAATTATCAGTATACATCCACCAAATAAAAGGGTTACCAAAGGTGAAGACCAAGTAGTGATCTCAAAAGTAATACAATGATTAAAGTTTTATGCACTGCGACTATGTTATGGAATTTTTAAAAAGTATCTTATGATATAATCATCTTAGATCAATCTGATTAATAATTTGAATGATTAAACAAAATAAATATATGAATGAAAGAATACTGAAGTCATGATAATGTTTAGCACCTTGAGATGTTCACAACAATTCAGAATATACAGAGAAGATGACTTGAATACAAACAAACTAGTTGAAATTCAATGTGGCTCACAGTAAAGATGCAGTGGGTTTCTATTTGCAGAACAAAGAATCTCGACCAAAAATGTATATATATGACTAAAATATTCTCGAGTGCAATTAACAAGGCTTTAAAAAGAATATATACTTTTCACTATGTAAATCTTTCTTGCACCTCTCCACCCTCCCCCCAAACCCCCTGCATTTTTTAATGTTTGGCATAAGGGACCAACAAACCAGAATAGAATACACATTTTTAAAAGACTAATTTACTCATATTCTATTTAACAACAACATACTTACACAGCATTCTTATAAAATTTAGCCTTTAAAAAACCATCCTTATATAAAACAGTAGGGGGGAGGAGGAGGAAAATCCCTGCTATACATACGAAGCACAGTATAAGCCCAATACAACTGACCAATCAAAATTAGTGAATGCACTGCATCTCTCTGCAGTGGAGAGAAGCGACAAGGTAGGCTGTCATTCTGCAAAAGCTGCCCAGAACAGGCTTTCCTCTGAAAAGCAGTGCCGTTCCTTTTCAGAAAGACTGAATCTAAATGTTGTCTCTGGAGAGAAGAATGTTAAATTACTTTCATTATGTATTTTCAGATGCTTATTGATTCCACAGTAGGAAGAGTGAGACTGCAGCAGCCTCTAGGCAGCACTACATGTTCCATACATTAGCAGTACTGCTGAAACAATGGCACAGGATAGACACATATTTTCATTAAGGTCATTTTCCGAGAGATGTTTATGACCCTCTTTCCCCAGTTCTCTACTGACAAGTGAACAAAATGAATCAATCAAAACTGGAAACGCTTCAACTACATCAAGAATTTATCAAATCTTTAGCAGAGGTAAGATGTGTTCCTTATTATAGCATACAGCTGCTTTTGAACCGGCATAGTGGGATAAAATTACTTTTAAAAATTTCAGCCTAAATTTTGAGTTTATGTGTTGAATTCTTATTGTTAAACCTGTATTTTTAAGATTTACTTCTTTTACGAAATGATATATTTTAAATGTAATTTTTAAAGTGCATTGTTAAATACAAAAAATAGTCTTTATTATTTCACTATCAAGACATTAGTTTTTAAGTCACTTCATACATACTAAGTATTCTTAATATCATCAGTACAGTTTTTCTCAGGTGTTCAAAAAAATACTTACATTTCTTAAAAAAAAAAACTGGGTTTACTATTTAGCTGTTATTCATTACTCAATCATATGTTAAGATTATTATGGGGCATGTTTATTAGAAATTACTTAACTTATTTATTAGTTTTACCTTTTACATTTCAACCACATGAACAATTCATCAATGCAATTTTATAGTATCTTATGAAATCTGTTTTAATGAGCCAAAATTTAAACCATGTGCCAATCATTAAACAAGCTACAATATATTTATGGCAGGAACTGTTAAATTTATTACCAAGGAATGACAGAATCTTTAGTATGCCCTGCTGAGAAATCTCTAAATAAAATACAGGTTAGCTTTTTAAATGAGAGCAAAAACTAGTTTAAAAAAAAACAAACAGCTTTTCTCTCATAGTTGTATTTAAAATTTTAACCCAAATATTAAATAAACGAATACATATAATGTTTGCGAAGCAAAGAGGAGTTTTATTTAAAGAAACTCTTAGTTTTGTGCATATAGCCCTGGGTCCTAACAAAACAGTTTTCTTGTTTTGATAATGCTGTTATGGTTTTAAAATAAATGAAACCTAAGTAACTTTCAATTAACTGAAAATTATTAGGAACCTTATTTCTAAACCAATTTCTTTTCCTTTTTCACAAAGGTCCAGAGCAGCTAACACAGTATTCATACCTGAAAATATGAAGAATACAACTGACTGACCATCTCCCTAGCTGTCTGAGCCACGAACTGCACGAAATTCTTCTAACACTTGATTTTAAGACTTTAAGGAGTTAAAAATCAGGGAACAGGACTACATTACTGCTGGACTGTAACAAATCGAGAGTATCCTAAGAAGATGCTACATAAGATAACCACAAAAAGAAAAACAATATAACTATAAAAGCCTGAAAACAAGATGGTGAACATTTTCAAAGGGAGAGTTAGACATGCTAAAATTGTGGAAGCTACGATTCTTGAAGAAACAATAAAACATGAATTTCTAAAAGGAGAATGGTATACTTTACCGGCAAGTAAAATGAAGCTGTACCAAGTATTTTCTGCACTAAATATCCAGCTATATTAATTGATATGACTAATGGATTTTTTCCATCTGAGTTTTATGAGCAATTATGTATATTCTTCTAATGAATATAAACCAAATTAAATAGCAGATGGCTTTTATCAAAAGAACGTGGACTGGATTTATAATATAAGGCAAGTTATGTGATCAAGAAATCATTAAATCATGAGGACTGCTATAGAAACTGATTTACAATGGTAACAGAAGGATGTCTAAATACATTTTAGAAGCTAGAAACCTTATGTTTCCTTCTTTGTTTTTACACATTTTGGAAAATAAAGAGACACTATCCTATATCCCCTCAAAGGGAAACATAATTCTTATCATTTGAGGAAGTTGCTCTTGGTCGTGACTTTCTAAGGCAAAATAAATACAAATACTATGTACTGTTCATTAGAAATCCATCAGCCAACTAAATCTCATAATTCATACAGTTGAAGTATTGGAGAGAAAATGAAAGAATTCCTACAAGACATGAAATAAAACACAGCTACTTCACTGTTGTCAGGTAAAAATTCATGTGAAAATCTGTCAATGATATCATGTATCAATTTGTGAAAAATTGCCATAGTGAGCCAAAAGGCCCATAAGGCAACAGCAAACAGGTAGGTCAGAAGATGCATGCACCCAACCACACTGTTTAACATTTACAAAAGAAAAGAATCTTGCTCTAGAGGAGATGCAATTTTTTTTTCTTGTAATTATCATCTGACTTAACATTTCTGCTTTAATTATAAATCTATGTGACAAAGACCTGATGTTTAATCTGTCAGTTCGGAAAATTTGGCACACTTAAAATTTTCCATTTTTACAGGATTTCAGTATTAGCTAAGACCTTCACTTACTGAAATAAACTCTTCTAGTAATACTTTATACCAACTCAAAAGAAATGTTATTATTTGTGGTTTTGAAATATAACAAAAATAATATGCATAAATAAAATTGTATTCTAAAACTTGTCAAAGGTAAACATCAAGTTAAAAGTTAACATGAATTTTGAAAATTATTAGCTTCTATAATTTGTTTGAACATGATTTTGCAGTCAAATGCTGTACTTGAAATGTGAAATATAGTTGGTTGTATGATTTCATATTTTAAATTGAATATACTGATGATATACTAGTCCAGAATATCAGATATTATTTTTATAAATTACTTTAAACCCTTAAATATTAAAATATAGATTTGCATGAATTAGCAAGAGTTTGGGTTTTTTTTTCTTCAAAATTAAACACTGAGTAATGTATACAAAAGGTTTCAAAAGCTTCCTCAAAAAATGAGCTACACTATCTTTTTCCTAGTCTTTCATTTTTATTTAAAAAACTCTAAACAAAATCAACTGATAAATCCTTTTAAATAGCCTGAAAAATAGCTATATCTTAATATGATATTAAATTTCAATTTTCTCCTTCCACAAGCTACAAGAGAGTATGATCACAAAATAAATCACTCAGAGAAATGATTACTGCTCTTTTACCAAGCTTTTTGTGGCTTTTTAAACTTTATCATAATGTCTCTCTTCTTCCAATTTTTTAAAAGTTTATTTATTGCAAAGGTCAGTGAGAATTTTTATTTTGATATATGAAATACTTATAATTTACTTATTTCTTTGGGAAATAACTCCAAATTTCCCCAAGCAAAGTTGATTTCTGAATATGAAATTCAAAAAAGATGCATAAAATAGTTTAAAACAAACTAGTGCTTTGTACCATTTATTATTTTAAATGAATACTTATCTTGTTCATTTGAAATCTCATGAGAATAATTATACTACATTAATTATGTTAGAGAATATTAAGATAGAATTTACTTCCTACCAACCTACAACATTTAAAACAAAATTTTAAACACTAAGCTAAAATTACTTTTGTATACTGGGTAGTTTCATTGTATAAAAATATACTTTATCTCAAATAATAAGCTTTAAATGCCCAAATGAAGAAAACCCTTTTAGTATATTAAATAATTTTGCACTATAGAGAACAACCCCCCTAGCTGCTTCTTCAAAAGGAGAACACAGTTTCTTTTTACATCAAAACAATGAAACCATACTTCTTTACATTTTTCCATTTAGAGTTTACATACTTAAAAATTAAACCAAGAACATAAAAAATTTTATTTTACAAAAAACACATGTTTTATATGTTATGTAAATTGCCAAATATCAAATAGTTTATTCTATTTCACTTTCTAGGGAAAAAAAAAACAACTGCTCCAAAAGAATGTGTTTTTCTCCCATTCTGGAAATCAACATGCAGTCTGAATCTAACATTACAGTGCGAGATGACATTGATGACATCAACACCAATATGTACCAATCACTATCATATCCATTAAGCTTTCAAGTGTCTCTCACCGGATTTCTTATGTTAGAAATTGTGTTGGGACTTGGCAGCAACCTCACCGTACTGGTACTTTACTGCATGAAATCCAACTTAATCAACTCCGTCAGTAACATTATTACAATGAATCTTCATGTACTTGATGTAATAATTTGTGTGGGATGTATTCCTCTAACTATAGTTATCCTTCTGCTTTCACTGGAGAGTAACACTGCTCTCATCTGCTGTTTCCATGAGGCTTGTGTATCTTTTGCAAGTGTCTCAACAGCAATCAACGTGTTCGCTATCACTTTGGACAGATACGACATCTCTGTAAAACCAGCAAACCGAATTTTGACAATGGGCAGAGCTGTAATGTTAATGACATCCATTTGGATATTTTCTTTTTTCTCTTTCCTGATTCCCTTTATTGAGGTAAACTTTTTCAGTCTTCAAAGTGGAAATACGTGGGAAAACAAGACGCTTTTGTGTGTTAGTACAAATGAATACTATACCGAACTGGGAATGTATTACCACCTGCTAGTTCAGATTCCAATATTCTTTTTCACCGTTATAGTAATGTTAATCACATACAGCAAAATACTTCAGGCTCTTAATATTCGAATAGGCACAAGATTTTCCACAGGGCAGAAGAAGAAAGCAAGAAAGAAAAAGACAATTTCTCTAACCACACAACATGAGGCTACAGACATGTCACAAAGCAGTGGTGGGAGAAATGTAGTCTTTGGTGTAAGAACTTCAGTTTCTGTAATAATTGCCCTCCGGCGAGCTGTGAAAAGACACCGGGAACGACGAGAAAGGCAAAAGAGAGTCTTCAGAATGTCTTTATTGATTATTTCTACATTTCTTCTCTGCTGGACACCAATTTCTGTTTTAAATACCACCATTTTATGTTTAGGCCCAAGTGACCTTTTAGTAAAATTAAGATTGTGTTTCCTAGTCATGGCTTATGGAACAACTATATTTCACCCTCTATTATATGCATTCACTAGACAAAAATTCCAAAAGGTCTTGAAAAGTAAAATGAAAAAGCGAGTTGTTTCCATAGTGGAAGCTGATCCCATGCCTAATAATGCTGTAATACATAACTCTTGGATAGATCCTAAACGAAACAAAAAACTTACATTTGAAGATAGTGAAATAAGAGAAAAATGTTTAGTACCTCAGGTTGTCACAGACTAGGAAAAGTCTAGGTTTCACCAAATCCACATCCAGGAGATTTTAAATTTAATTTGTACAAAATGAAATTACTGCCAAATATAAGAAAACACATTTTAAGTATTATTTATGTTGTAAATTTTCAATGTGAATGTCAATTAGATTAGGTCATATATATTCAATTTCTTCATTACTTAATGTATTTGTTGCATGGCAGTTTGTTAAGATAATATTGTGTATATTTTGTCAATATTACGTCCATCAGAAGATACTCATGTAATATTCATATTTTTTAAAGAATAAATACATAGCCTTAAAACAGTGTATAACTTTAAAATGTAAATGACAGAGGTATCCTTGCTTTTATTTTTTTTAATAAAGTGTATTGTTCCTATGCCACAACTGCAAATATATTTACATAATAACAACTGGAATAGCATTTAAACATGACCCAAATTATGGGCTCAAACAATCAAAACAATCTAGGATTTTTTGTATCTTATATTTCATGATATAGTATACTTGTTATAATAATTGATGGATCAAAAATAATGAGCTATGTATGAAACTTTATTTTTTTAATGTAGAAAATAATAGGATTTATCAGGATTTAAAATTCATAACCTCCCCAAATAAAAACCTGTATATGTACACTAAGTTAGGGAAACATTAAAATTCAACTTTACTATGAAAAAAATATTGATTTTCAAACATCAGTGTACTATGCTAAATGAACTGACAATAAAGGGAAGGTAGAAAACTAAAGCACCATCCTCTTCCTTCTGTCCTCTCTTTGCTTGAGTCTAAGCCAAATGCTCTGATTTAATAAATGAATATATTATTCTGATAAAAAAATAGTGCATTAAAATAAACCTATTTCCTAACTTTATTCAACTTAACCTTTTTTGTATAATTGAAGTTAACTACCCAAGTCTGAATACCAGGAAGGAAAACAACAAAAAAGAAGATCATATTATTATAGAAAAGCCTAACAAAGCCAAGAATTTCTAATTTTAGGTAAGTAGTGACTTTAGAGTAAGAAATACAATGAATACACTGTTCAACCCAATTATAGCTCCCAAGGATTTGAAAATATAGTAATTCCATTTCTACTTTGAAAATCATTAAAGCAACAATAAAATTTGTCACTTTTTCTACTCTACCACCACTTAATGTAACTTTGGGCACTCTTCTCTCCAATCCTTAATTCATACTGGAAAACTATGAAATTAATAATCCTAACTACTTACTATAAGGATTAGGTATTTATTTTGAACAAAGTTTCCAATTGTCATAATGCATAATCTTATCAATGAATATTAATATCAATGTATCAGAAAGTTAGCAATAAGTTACTTATAGCAGGGAAATATCTGCTACATTGTAACTGGTTTATTCTATTTTTAAACACTATATTCAAAGTCAAGTAGCAACTCATTTTTAAAGAAAAAAATGTCAAACATTGAATAATATATCACTTTTGTACAAATTAATAAGATTCATCCAAATATGGAAGATTTACTGCTGAGTAAAGAAAAGCCAGGCTACGAAGGAGAGGCATTGTATGTCCCCACTTAATATATACCAAGTGTCCACACTCTATGACTGAAACTAATTGACTAAAGGATATAGAAACACAGTACATAGATGTAAATACCAGATATAGTGTGTGGAAAGAGGAGGGTCTGAGGAAAGACATTTAGAAGAAAAATAGGGAGGCAAAGCATTAAAGGCACAAAGAAATGTGGTATTATCTGTTAAAGATATTTTGTAGTTTTATCAACCGTACTAGAGAGAAATGTTCACCTGTTGAAATATCCATTTTGTAAGCCAAATAATAATGTGATTGAATGTATAAAAGAAAATGAAATAAAAATAAATAAATATTTTTTAAAAGAGAGAGAGAAAGAAAGAAAGTACACTTCAGGACAAACTAACCACAACAACAAAAAGATTCATCCAATCTAGTTAACTTAATACCATAATCCTTGGGGTAAATGAGCACCATGCAATAGCTTGAATTCAGTGAGATTACATGGTAAATTAAATAGTGATTTGCTTCTGATAATAACGTTAACATGATGTCAAATCTTGGCAAAGACCCTGTTTCCTTCTATGTGATTTTCTATTATTCTGCAAAATTGAAGAAATGCCTCAATTTAACACAATGTGGCATAATCAAGGAAGAACTATTTATTGAAACCCTAAAGAGAAATTAACACTTCATAGACAAAGGTATTAAGAAAGCTTTTATCTGAAAAATACATTTGGCATAAAGTATCTCCTAATATCTTCACTTTTTAAAAAATGAATTTTATAGTTGCAAGTATAAATTTAAATTTGAATATTTAAATTGATAACAAGTGTTAGGCTATTATTGGAGTATTCATATTAAGAAAAATGTGTTTTAACTACTTTTAATCTTCAGGTTTATAAGCATGCTATAGAACTCAGTATAAAACAAATATCTAGTGTATTTGCCTAAACTGCTTTCACACCTGTGTGTTGCCTGCTAAAGAAATGCAAACAAAATAAGAAATAAATGGTAAATATTATAATGGTGCCCTTTAAACTGCTATTATTTCTATACTTGGCACTGGAGCAATTAACAAGCTCTTTTTCCTACTTATAATGATCTTCCAGGTATACCCACTGATTTACAAAAAAGAAAATTTATACCTATCAAACTACTTCTGATAGCTTTCTAATGTGTTAAATAGTACATAATATGTGAACCAAAATAAAACTTATGTGTTAAAAATTCAGCTTCCAAAAACAAGTCACAAATATGTTTGCAACTACTGACATCAGTTTAAATGGCAGAACAACTTAGACAACTTTTTTTTAATTAAATGTTTGTTTTATGAAAGATATAATATTTTTAATTTCTGTCATAATGGCCTTTGCCCCAATGTGTAAAATTTTCACTTTATTTCAAATAATTTTACCTCCCCAAAAAGCATTAATGTTAATTTCTCCTGTTAGAATGAAAACTAAAAATGCAAAAGCAAAGGAAACAACTATAAATTTAATATAGGTTCCTTCTTATAATCATATTTTTCTATCCATAAGCTATAAATCTCAGACATAGATATCAATATCTATTAGTTAGTTAGGTTAGGTCTTCAAAAAGATAGAAAGAAAAAATGTTATTTTAAAAAAATAGCCAAAGATTAGCTCAACAAGGTATGGAAATTTTTATTTGCATTCTGGTTTGCTAATTTAAGGTGACTTTTATTCTATCTACTACAAATAGATGTTCAAATGTACTATGAGACTGAATGATTTAATAATATGCTTTAAATTCCATTCATAATTCTATACTTTTTCTCATAAGTCAATTTTTAAGTACATGGTTATTTTTTCATTTCCTAAATAATTCTATGGAAAAATCTCAATTTTCTAGGCATTAAAAATCAGACTCTTCATTTAAAAGAAATTAAGACTTAAAGATAAAAATCTAAAATTATAAGACTTAAATAGGTCCTTACAAGGTCTTTATTTCACATAGAACTACTTTAGGGTTGCTTTCCAAAATCATTCAAACTTTGAGCTTTATTACATTTCATGATTATATAATTAAGTAAGTTTTGTAATTTAATCAATATTTTAATTCTTACAATACAGAAGAGAGCAGATACTTTGAATTATATGAAATAGAGTCATTGCCTTCACAAGCTTAAAATCTAGAATCAAGGCATTAAGAAGTATAGCAATATCTAAAAAGTAGAAAGTGGTAAATGTGACAAAAGAGGAATAAAGTTCTTAGTGGATTTAAGAAAAAGATTCTGTTGGATGTAAGAACAATGTAAACAAAATCATGATTAAAGAAAGCAACTGCAGCATATTCTGGCAAGAGTATATTATTCTTTTGAAGGGAAGCAATACGGAAGTGAGAAGTTATGTACAGAGTTAAATTGGGGTAGTAAGATGGCCTTCAGTACGATCAGAGATATCTAGCAGGTGAAAAACAAGTCATACATAAGCTTAAAAAATTAATAATATAGCAATATGCAGACAGACTTTAAGACACGGAATATGATAGACAGTAAAGGTCTGGCAAAAAGCAATGGCAGTGGCTCTGCAAACGAGTATATAGATGTGACAGGCAATGTGAAGGTAAAATCAACAGGGTTTCCCAACTGGCTAGAAAAACAACTGATAAAAGAGACAGAAGAATTAGAAATGATGACCATGAGGAGGACTATAAGAAACTAGATTACCCTCAATAATTGAAGAACTATTTAATTATGTTTTGCATAAAGTACATAGTTAACAAAGAGAAAAAAAAAAACTTTGGCAAAGCAGAAAATTAAATAAAGTAGAATAAATAACATTCAAGAATGCTCTAATTATTAGAAACTATTTGAAATTAAAATTTCAAATTGATGTTCGGTTACATACATTGTGCAACTGGTTTATTCAGTTTTTCCATTAGACACACATTTTTGTTTTTAGCATTTTTTTAATTAAAAAATTATGAACATATAAATACCAATATATATTTGGTTAAAAAAAATTTGTGCTCTGCCTTTTGCCCCCAAAACTTACTATGACTATCCATCCAACTCATAATAGTCAAATATCCCTCATTCTTTCATAATTTCTGCATAAAAATATTTTTCATTAAAAATTTTAAAACGTCACCATTTCTAAAGGATATTACTAATAAAAGATCAAACAATAAAACCTTTTTCTATTATAATTAAGGAGTTTCAAAGTATATTTCAAGATCATCAAATTATATTTCAAAATAGAAAAAGGGTAACCTGGCAACTGAATACCAGTTATTTTTTTTTTCTAAATGGAGACAAGCAGCAAGGGGAAAACCATAAAACAATATCTTTTTTTCTTTCCCACCAAATGAGATGAGAAAAAAGAAAATTAATGAAAACTTTTGGAGATTTCCCTTTACATCCCAGAGACGGGCACTCGCATTTACTCGTGAATATAGACTCTCTCTAGGCCAACAGTGAGCTCCAACAAAATTAAACATGAGTCGACTAGCGACAAAGGTTAGGGGAAAAGAGGAGTTCAGGGCATGTTGTAAAAGAGAAAAATAAGCAGATAATAAGGCTGAAGGAAAGTCCTCAAGAAATCAGAGATGTTCAGCTACTAGAGAAATA